GAGAGAGAGAGAGAGAGAGAGAGAGAGAGAGAGAGAGAGAGAGAGAGTTTAAATGGGGAAGCAATACCCCAATTAGACATAATATGCTACCAAATAAAATCCCTAGTACTAGAAATGGGTTTCATCCTTTGGAGTTGTTGGCTTAATGGGATCCTATAGTTTGCCCCCATCTCCAAACATAACAGAATATTGCCAGTGCCATTGATTATCTTCCATATCTTGGTGGTGAAAGCCTATTGCTAAAGATATCACATATTTATGTCATAAAATGAGGAGGAATCAAGCAGGCACTCAACTGGCTAGTGTTTCCAGTGCTGGAAGGTGTTATACATGCTCCTGGTAGGGAAAAGAAATAATTGGTCTCATCCATGTGAGCTACAATAATTACCTGCCTGCAAGATATATCCTTTGGTACAATAGTGGCACAAATATTATAGGATTAGCCAACCACTTAAAAATGGATTTTTGGCCCACTTCATATGATGCAAACCATACCTGACACAAGATCTGCATAAAAGCTCACACCAGGCAGCATCCTAGCACAGAGGTGGGGAATTGGGCATCATGTCCCCGTTTCTAAGATAGAAGCTATTTGAAATTAATAGCTGCTGAAACAGAGAAAAATCAGTCTTCTTCAGTGGAATGACACTGGGTATATCCACCACACCAGGGCAGGCCCCATTCTAAGGAGTTAGTCTGCCAAGACAAACTGAACTCCATGTTCATTTGGCTTTTTGCTGTTGTTTTAGGAGAACGTGATTACATAAAGTTGGGTAGATAGGCAGGTGGGGGAGGATTTGAAGGCAGTTGGGAGAAGGGAAAAATATGACCAAAATATATTGTCTGAAATTCTCAAAGAATAAATAAAACATCTAGATAGGAAAAATATTAACTTTTGTAAAATTTTTTTTTAAAATAATAAACAAACAAATTCAGGCATGAGTTGGTGAGATGGTTCAGCAGGTGAAAACACTCCTGCCAATCTGGCAACCTGAGTTCAGTCCCTTAGACTCACACAGTGGAGAGAGTACCAACTCCTAACACAGTCATCAGGCGTCAACATTCACACTGTGGTACCTGCGCACCCACGTACAACACATACAGTCAATAAGATGTAATCAAAATAAAAATAAAAGCAGACTTGACTGAATAATGTAATATCTTACAAATATACCACTCTCCCCAGCTCTATACCTGTCATGGTCAATAAAGTGAGTTCTTTGATGGAGTGATAGCGGTTTGATGTGGTATTGGCGAACCTGACAGGTTTTTGGTTGGATTCTTGGAGTCACATATGCCTGGAGTGTGCCATACTGGCCTTCAATTGAACGAATCTGATAACATAAAAGGAAAAAGAAAAAGTTAGCAGCATAACTATATTTTCCTGTGTTTCCTTAGGTATTGAATGCTTCTGTGCAGTCTGTCCTGGACTATTCTGATAGATACAAAGCATCTCTCAAACACTTTCCATCATGATCGTACAGGAACACTTCAAATGATCTCGGCAGTCTTAAACAACAATAATCATCCTTCCAGTTATTACCATCATGTATTTTCAGTTCATCTGTCCCAGACTCATCAATCAAAGGTCAGATGCTCATTCTCAGATAGTACCCTGTATGTCCAAAGGATGTGTGTATAATATACTTAAATATTCAGAAGAAAAATAATAAAAACTGGGCATTTTGTCAAATAGAAAAGCAAATTTTTGAAATAACTAAAACTAAATTAAAATACTTTGTTTTTCCCAGACTTGGGGATTATACAGAGGTATTGTTACAATTCACAGAAATAAATATTTCCAGGAAAGAAAGTAGAGAGCATATTATAACCAGTTACACCTGGACTGGAATATCCTTCCAGGTTATTTTGATATGGCTGGTTGTATCTAGAGAGAGTTGAAACAAAGACTGACTTACTAATCTGCAAATGCATAATATCAGAGTGCACTGCCTCTTTAACTTGTCTTGCCAGTTCTCTTTCATGCCACAAAAGTAACTTCTGTAACTGAGATTTTAGTTCATGCTTTTCCAGTACATGAAGAAAATAATCTTTATCTAAGTGTTAAATATAATTTAATGTTTAAAACAAAATTCTTTACAAGTGTGGAAAGGAAAAAGGTGAAATTTTTAACAAAGATGATGAATAAGAATACAGAAAGAGCCAGTTATAGTGGCACATGCCTTTGATCACAGCACTTGGGAAACAGAGGCAGGCAGATCTCTGTGAGTTCAAGACCAGCCTTGCCTACATAGTGAGTTCTAAGACTATGTAGAAAGACCAGTCTCAAACAACAAAACAAAACAAACAAACAAACAAACAAACAAAAATAGATATAGCCGGGCAGTGGTGGTGCACGCCTTTAATCCCAGCACTTGGGAGGCAGAGGCAGGTGGATTTCTGAGTTCGAGGCCAGCCTGGTCTACAGAGTGAGTTCCAGGACAGCCAGGGCTACACAGAGAAACCCTGTCTCAAAAAAACCAAAACCAAAACCAAAACCAAAAAAGGTAAGCTGACATTGGTAGCACAAATCTTCTATAATAAAAAAGAGCATTAAAATAAATGTAAGATATTTATAAAATTGTTTTAATATTGAATATGGCAATTCAGATTCATTATTTTAAAATTATACAGTATGGAAAAGTAGGACAAATGTGTGAGTCCTTAAACTTTGACTTCTCAGCCATCTAGACCATTGTTCCTTTGTATGGCTCTATTCATGTATAAACTGAGATGCATGCAACTCTGCATGGATGTGTTTCAGCTAGTGTGATGGTTTGTATATGCTTGGCCCAGGGAGTGGCACTATTAGAAGGGGTGGCCTTGTTGGAGTAAGTGTGTCACTGTGGGGAGAACTTTAAGACCTCATCCTAGCTGCCTGGAAGCCAGTATCCTGCTAGCAGCCTTCAGATGGAGATGCAGAACTCTCAGCTCCTTCTGCACCATGCCTGCCTGGATGCTGCCATGTTCCTGCTTTGATGATAATGGACTAAACCTTTGAACCTGTAAGCCAGTCCCAATTAAATGTGCTTATAAGAGTTGTCTTGGTCATGGAGTCTGTTCACAGCAGTTAAACCCTAACTATGACAGATGTTGGTACTGGGACTGGGGTATTGCTGTGATAGGCCTGACCATGCTTTCGTTTGGAAGAATGTGGAGTTTAGACTTTGGATTTGGAAAGCCATGGAATGGTTTAAGTGGGGTTTGATAGGCCATCCTAGTAGGAATATGGAAGACTTTGTTTCTGAGGGTGATTTGAACAGTGGAAGCCTGGTTCTAGAGGTAGAAGAGTAGAAGAATTTTAACATGTGGCTGTGAGTCTGTTTTTGTGGTATTTTGGTGAAGAACGTGGGTGCTTTTTGCCCTTGTATGAAGAGTCTGCCTGAGGCTAAGGTAAAGAGATTAATTGCATTGACAAAGGAAGTCTCAAAAAGCCCAGCAGAGACCTTGTTCTCTGTTAAGTCTCATGAAGAGCATTTTGAACAAGCGTAGCAAGCTTGGAAAGGAAAAATATAAAATATATGGTTCAAATATTAAAGGGGTACCAGGATGTGAAATGGAGCTGAATCCTCCTGAATTCCAGGAGATAACAGATTAAGGGAGAGGGACTTTGGGGCAAGATCCTAACCAGCTAAATTTAGATCCAGGCATGGTGGTACACACCTTTAGTCCCAGAAGACAAAGCCAAGCAGATCTCTTGAGTTCAAAGCCAGCCTGGGACAGAGCAAGTTCTAGGTGAAGAAAAGTCCAGGTGTGGTGGTGCACACCTTTAATCTCAGGAGACAGGCATGCAGATCTCAGAGCTCAAGGTCAGTCTACACAGCAAGATCCAGGACAGCCAAACTTAGGCAGTGAAGGATTTGGAAAATGAAAAGCTGGTAATAATGTAATAGAACAAGGGGTCCAGGTTCCAGCCCCTGCAAGCAGCAGAACTTGGCAGCTTTGGCCATAAAAGGGACTACTGGGACAACTGATGCTGGTTAGCTGGAGCTAAGTAATTAGCAGGAATTAAGATCAGACTAGCATTACTGAGGTGAAGTCTTTTGAGAAGTGTTTTCTGAGAGCACAAAGAAGCTGTTGTTCCAGAAATAGCCATGGTTTGTACCTCGTGCTGCAGCTGTACTTGGTAATGTGTAAGAGTCACCCAGGTGGTACTGGTTTTGAATGCATGAAGAGCAGCTGAGGCTTGGCACTGTGAGAGGCCATGGAAGGCCATTGGTGAAGGTGCAGCCTCAGTTGCAGTTGACGGCCCAGGACTGGAGGGGTCATGCAAATGATTTGAGGCTTGGCACTATGAAGAGAGCGTATGAGAGGCTATTGGTGAAGTCTAGTTGCAGAAGAAGACCACAATGTACTGGAGATGCTAGTACCATGCGTGGGATGATCACTAAGAACAGTAGTGGCAGTGTATCAACCTGAGCTTTGAGTGCTACAGAGGGCAGAGCTGGAGAAGTGACACAAGCCCTTTGGAGGAGCCCAGAAGATCATGTGTGGATTCCAGACATGAAACATGAAGCTGTAACATTGAAGTTGCCTTGGAGACCCTGAGATTTTTGAGATGCCAGCCACAGGCTATCTGCTAAGTAATGCTGCCAATGGGGAGTGGAAACAGCCTTTGTGTTGTCCTTATAAGAGTTGCTTTGGTCATGGTGTCTGCTCACAGCAGTAAAACCCTAACTAAGACTGCTAAATTAGACATCTTTGCTTCATTTCCAACATTCAACTTTCTCCTTTTTCAATATTAAAGAAAAAAGAAAGAAAGAAGGAAAGAAAGAATTCATTTAATTTTTCTAGATGGAACCAGTTGTACCAACACCAATTTTAACATGTTAAATAAAAACATTAATTAAAAAAACACGATGACAGTTTGAAATGGGCTGCATTCATAGAAAAGTCCTGTCTTATTTTCTTCTTCCTCCTTCTCTTCCCCTTTCTTTTCTTTGTCCCTTCCCTCCATTTATTTCTCCTCTCCCTTCCCATTATTTGTGCCAGGATATATCTCTGTACCCCAAGATGGCCTTGAATTCACCTGGCTTTTTTTTCTCTTTCATAATTTTCCTGGGGCCCTTTTCAGGCATTATTTTTTCCTTTTTTTGAATTTAATATTATTATGCTCAACTTTTTAACAAAGAACATTACTTTTCAAATGTACTGATATATTTTTGCTTGGTGACATAAAATTATGAAAGAGAAAAAAAAAAAAAAACAAGTGAGTTAAAGGCCAGCACTAAAAAACAAAGACTAAACAAAAGAACTTTAAAATTTTCACCAGAATAGAAGGTAATAATTATCCATTTGTGTGTATTTGTTGTTGTTTGTTTTTTATGTAGGTTCTCTTTTATGTGGTCCTGGCTGTCATGGAACTCACTGTGTAGATTAGACTGGCCTAGAACTCATAGAGGTCCTCCTGCCTCTCCTTCCTAAGCACTAGGACTAAAGGTGTGTGTCACTAGGCCTGGGATAAAGGTAATTAAATGACTAGAATTCAATCAGCAAAATCTACACAGTAGGAAAATACAATGACTACACAATTTCAATAATTCTGTTATATTTAAACCATGAATAGATAAATATATAAAAGTGAATCAGTAGAATTTAAACATTATACTTAATAATAAGTAATTGTCCAATTTTGATTGAAAATAGTATTATTTTTTTAAAAGAACACTCATCTTTTAAATATGCTAAAATATTTACAAATAAAATATAAATCCACTGTATTTGCTTCAGAATGAGTTTAGATGGCAAATGATATAAAACAAGATTGCTATGGGTTAATCACCACTCCAAGCATGCTTGGACTTTCCAGAATAGAACCAGCAAAGCCAAGCATGGTGCACACATTGTAATCACAGCACTCTGGAGACTAACTGGCAAAGTTCAAATCCAGCCTGGGCTACAAAGTTAAGACCAAACTTAGTCCCCACTATCCATCCCCTGCTAAAAGGAAATAAATCTAGAAAATTCCCGTAGGAGGGAACTTCCAGAGCAATGGTTCCATAGAAGGTTACTGATTGAGCACTAACTTAACATGTGTGGTGCCTAGGATAAACTAAAACCCCACTGATCATTCTTCACACAGATTCATTTCACAGAGAATTTCAGTGCAGCAGAATGATAGCATATGTAAGACAAGTTCAGACATTCAAAAATAAAGGTAATGAGGCTGGAGAGGTGGGTGAGTGCATGCACACACATGTACAGAGACACATAAATACACAAAGTTACAACCCCAAACTTGTAAGACTTGTTCTTGCAATTTTACCTTGAGCTCCAGCCTGGTGGTATTTGCCTGGCATCGATAAGTGGCAAGAAGAAAGTTGTCGTTTGACTGGAAGAATTTAAAGTTGAGAAACAACAAAACACCATTAGCAATAGTTTGCTATTTACTTGAGTAATGTTCACTTAAAAAAAAATAGGAACAGCAAGAAGATGGTGAGGAGGGGGCCATACACTGAAAGTGATAGCTATGTGGAGATGACTATTTGTCTTCCTACTTTTTAAAATAGTTCAAATTCCCAAAATTTTTTAAGAAGCCACAGTCCAGGAAACAAATTTTAAATTAGCATAAAATAAGCTTTTCAAATCTTCCATGGTGATGTAAATGAAACTGGCTTTTTAAGACAGGGTCTATGCATCCTAGATTTCCATAGCTCTGTACCCAGGCATACCTAGGACTTCGGAGCCTCCTGTTTGCTCCAGAGTGGTGAGATCACAGGCTTAAACAGCTATGCCAGGTTCAGGAAGTGCAGGGTATGGAGCCCTGGGCTCTGTTCATGCAAGCACTCTACCATCTGGGCTACATCTCAGACCCCACATACATTCCTTACTCTATCAGAGCAAATCCAGAATAAAAATATTTATTACACTTGTTATTCTCTTGGGGGGTGGGTGAGACAGGGTAACTGCTAACTAGCTAAGGGTGAACTTGAGCCCCTGCCACCTCCAAGTGCTGGGACTAAAGGTGTGAGCCACCATAACCAGTTCATTAGATTTGTTTTTATATAAGCAGGCTCTTCATGTTTACTCATAAAAATCATGATGAACCTTATATCAATGACGTGAATGATTTAAAATTTCTCCACTTAACAAAAGGAAAATGTTTACTATGAAGTTATAGTTAAAATAAACTTATCTGCTGGGAATGGTAATGCACACCTTTAATCCCAGCAATGGGAGACAGAGGCAGATAGACCACTGGGTTTGAGGCTAGCCAGGGCTACATAGAAGGTTTCAGCCAAGCCATGTTATCCACTGACATTCTGCCCCAACAGTAAATAAATGAGCAAAATAAGCACTTCATACTTCATGTAGTTTTCAACTTTTTCTTAATCTATGCTTTAAATTTCTTTTCTTATTTCCTTTGGTAGTTCTGGGATCATATCCAGAACATGCTAAGCAAGCATTCTACCTCTGAGTTACACCCTCATCTGTATTACTGCCTTTAAAAATATGCACATAACTACCTACCAAATCCAGTCACCATCTCTTCTCTGGTCATCTTCTCTAGTGCATCTAATATGGGTTTTCTCTTGTCTCTTAAGTTCTCTTCAGGATTCACACCCTGCTCTGAAACTGCTTTCTGGCAGTATGAATGAGAAGAAAGTGGTACAGCAGGCATGGCCCCCAATGATAGCATCATCTAGTTACAGGTATGTCACAGAGACTAAGGGCTCAACAAAAGCCCACTGAATGACAGCTTTCTGTCAGCATCTGAGAAGCCCCAGAGTGTACCAGAAAGAACAGGGAAAGGAACAGATATATGCTAATGTATGTACAAAACCATAGTGTTTTCAGGAAAAACTTTGAAGGGCTTCTTTGGCATGACATGACTGTACATGAAAGGAGAGGTAGCACCTGCTGAGAGGTAAGTTGGGATATAATTGAAGAGCTGAAACAGAGAAACACTTCTAGGCACAATCAAGATCTAGACTTATATCCAACAGGAAACTAGACCCTTTAAAAGGTTTTGGGAAATGATTCCGTGACATTTGTGCCTTATCCCTCTGGTGGCAGCACACAGCAGTCTTGAGGTGAGAGCCAAGACTGGAAGCAGGGAAGCTAAAGGGATAAGCTGTGTAGCAGGCCACGATAGGGCCTAGAGTGAGTTACCAGAAGGACAGGGACACGAGTGCAGGGCTGAGAGCCTCCGGGAGCCTGGCCAAGGCCTCAGGGTCAGGACTTCTGAGGACAGAGAAGGACAGGCAGATTCTAAGAGAAAAGCCCGCATGGAAACTATGCAAGCAGCAGCTTCGAACCCTGACAGCACTTACAGATGTCACTCAGTGGAGCAACACAAACCAAGACAGGAAGGGTTTTGTTTGTTGTTTTGTTTTGTTTTTGTTTTTGTTAACTCACCTCTGTATCACAGCTGCTAAAGCTCACAACAGCAGAATTCTTATCCACATCAAGCAGATCTATTGGAACATCACTCTATAGCAAATATTTAAAAGCAGAAAGGTTCAGACAGAAAACCTTAAAGTATCCACAGAATGTTTACTCTAAGGATTCTCCCTAGTTATAGTTCATATATGCCTTCAAATGTGAGAGTTGGCATACACTCCTTCTTCCCTGTCTGGTGGTGGTGTTAGAGACAAGCTCTCACCATGTACTGCTAGCCAGTGGAGAACTCTATACATAGACCAGGCTGACCTCGAGCTTACACCAATGTGCCCACCTCTGCCTTTCCACTTCTGGGATTAAAAGGCATGCTTCACTCCTGGCTTCTCCATTTGGTTTTTGAAAAAGGGTCTTACCAGGGAGGCTGGCCTTAAAACTTTGGGTCCTCCTCACATTTCTGAGTGTTGGGATTATAACTGTGTACCACCATGCCCAGCTAATGGTTTATATTGCTAGAAAGTAAGCCCAATAAAGAATACATTTATTTTATAATCATGTATTCTTTAATATTTAGTTTATCAGAAATCACAGAACACTCTTATCTCCTGTGGGGCCGCAAAGGGATGGTTTGGTCTTCCCAGTAGAGCACTGGGTTTGAGATAACCAGGGACCCAACAGGGGCATGGCCTGTCAGAGACGGCTCTATCTCCCCACGCTCCCGGATTCCAGACTACCCGCTACATGCGGCCTACTATATCTCCATTTGGCTCAAAGTAGCCCCTCCCAGAGAAGTTTTGCGTCACCTTCCAGGTAGAGGGCGTGACTAACAGAGATTTCCATATTCATGAGTTATCTAAAGGGGGGGCATAGCTAATTAAGTCATTCCTTTCCCCAGTCCCTCCTCTTTCCTCCTCCCTATTTAAGCTAACTCCTCCTGCCTTTCACAGGGTGGGGCGGGGGCACATCTAGAGCCAACTATCACACCATGAACAATAAACTTCTTGGACTTTCTTAAACCCACGGACTCCACGTGTTTTCTGGGACCTGCTGCTGACAAAGCTTTCAGCCTTTGGAACCCTAGACCTTCTCGTTTTATGTGGGACCTGCTGGTGGGAAAGCCTGTAGGGCTCCGCCGCCCTCCCATCAGCAGGTCGCTCCCCTGTGGGTCCAGGGCACCCCCGCGTGTGGTTTTTCCCACAATCTCGTTAAAGAATAATCTTTTTGTTTGTTTGTTTGTTTGTTTTTATTAATGAGAAGAGGTTATCATGGGCTTTAATCATGGAGCCATCCTGAGTATAAGTGTGGGGTGTGGATAATGAATGTGTGCATGTTCAAGCATGTGTAGGTGTCTTTTTTGGTCATTTTCCCCCTTTGTTTTTGAGACTGAGTCTCTCACTAAGCCAACTAGCTAGGCGAACTGACCAGAAAGCCACAGGGTTTACTTCTCTCTGCCTAGTGCTGGGGTTCTAGAAACAGCCACCTATGGATGCTCACCCAAGTCCTAATGCTTGCACAGCAAGCACTTCAGCAACCAAGCCATCCCCCAGCCGACGGCTTCCCCAGCCGACACCTCACGTTTATCAAGCTGAATTTCTTCTGCTATGTAGACAACTGTGCGACCTCTTCAGCAGAGCAGTTTCTAAGAGAAAGCTGCTGCCCTGTGGTGTGAGGGACTGGAGCTCCTAGAGAGGTTCAGTGTGGCAGCCTGAGAACTAACACAACTGAAGAAGGTTTCTTCTAATTCATTAATAATTGATTTCTTTATTGCATCTTTTCGACAGATATATTTCCTTCTTTCAATTTAATACCCTCTCATTTTTATGGGTTTTCATCTAATTATTTTTCATTTATCTTTTTCTGTTTTATGGCTACTTTCTAACTTAAATTAAAAACAAAAACCAAAAACTAGTTGTTAGTTACTCATTATTATCCCTAAATTCACTCTTTGAGATTTTCTACTTTGCCTATTGGCCTAGCTGGAATCTACTGAGTTAATAAGTAAGCTACCATCTTAGTGTCTAGAGATTCAGAAAACATTTTAATAAAGGCATTAAATATTGGAATCTTTCCTGCTTTGTTTGTGTTTGAGGCAAGGTCTCACTTGCAGCAATCGCTCTGCCTCAGCCCTGCAAGTGCTGCAATTACAGGCTAAGGCATGGTACCTAAGCGATACTGGAGCTTTCTTAGCCACATCATGGGTAAGATTCTGCTGCTCATGGTGGTACATGCCTTTAATCCTAGCACTTGGGAAGCAGAGACAGCCTGGTCTACAGAGTGAGTTCTAGGACAGCCAGAGTAACATAGAGAAACACTGTCTCAAACAAACAAATAAACAAGATTCTCTTAGAAGGTGGCCAAAAAAAGAAATCCTGTAGGTCCTTTCTATTCCTCCTGGAAACTGAGGTTCACTCATCTTTTGGTTATATAATAAATAAAGGGTAAAGATAACCTATAAGTAAACTGACTACCTAACAGAAGATTTGTAAACATTTAAAGTTACTGTAAAGAATTAAAAATGTTTGTTAATAATAAGTGTGTATGACTGGTTTGCCAAAAAGACAGATCCAGTCTAATATTAAGAAATAAGGCATTGTGCTTACCTGTATTAAGACATTATCTATTGCAGTCCGAACCTCTAAGACAAGGCTGTAGCTAGCATCGTCTTTATTCAATGTGAACTTGTCATTTACACTGAATGAAGGGACTGTTGACTTGGCTTGGCTTGACTGTGAAGACTGTTGGTAATTTTCTCTCTCCTGAATCACCTTAAACTGCAGCAATTCTAATTCATTCCTGCAGGAAAACACAGTGTCTTATCTCCCACTGACACTTGAGATCCCCTGCAGTGTGTACAAAAAATGAGATATTTCTTTTTGAAAGACTAGGTTTAGAGGTTAAGCTATTTCACACCAACAGGAACACTTTTGCTTCTATGACTGACCAAATGACTCCACATCATTTAGCATTGATCCAAAAGCTAAAACATCCACTGAGTCCAATAACAGTAACATTATTAGAGCTGTATCAAGGCAGGCTGCAAATTACCAACTCCAACACATCACCATGGTGGTAGCTGCACACAGCACTGATCAGAAGAGAAACTAATACAAGGACACACAGCAGAGCTAATGACAAACAAAACATGAAGCCAGTTAGACATACACTTTTCTATAGGTCATCAGGGTAGACACACAAGAGGGAGGAGGTCACCAAATATTAACATGTTGGGAACGACAAGGGTGATGAATCAGTGGTGCCACTGAAGTCCATCGATTGTTGCAGCAGATTCTCTGAGTGCTGTCAAGCGGAGTTTTGGTTGAAGAGAAAGGTTACATGCAAATGAAGTAACAGTTGGAGCAATATGAAGGTAGCTAGCCCAAATTCAGGGGGAAGGGTCTGAGAAGGAGATTGAATGGGGTGTATGCAAACAAAGGGAAATATTAATTTATCCAGGACAACAGTTCTAATCAATATTACATATTTACTCCAGTGTTCCATGTGATGAATGAACAAAAGAATAAAAATTTGTAACACAGCTTATATTCTAGTATGATCAAGAAGGGGAAGACTACATTACTGAAAAAAAAAAAAAGGTATTGAGGGCTGGAGAGATGGCTCAGCTGTGAAGATCACTGCTGCTCTTGCAGAGGACTCAAGTTGAATTTCCAGCGCCTACAAGGCAGCACACAACTGTAACTCCAGTTTCAAGGAATCTGACAATCTCTTCTAGGTATTGCACTAAGGAACTATTAATAGTCACTAGATCTATTTGGTGCTTTTTTTTTTTAAAGTATGTGTGTAGCTGGCCTTTGCCACTTGGTGGGTTCTTTTTTTCACTGTTTATCCCCTAGTTTTACCCCCTATCACTCACTAGATAGGAGGAGGAGGAGGACAAGGAGGAGGAAGAGGAAGAAGAGGGGGAGAAAGAGAGATCCTTGAATCTAATTTCTTTCCTTTTGTTTCTTCTTTGAGCATGACTGTTAACAAATCACTCACACACACACACACACACACACACACACACACAGGCCCATCACCAACCTGCCTCTTGGGGCCCTAGCGTTTATATGTTCTCTGAAAAGTTCCCAGAATTCCAATGTCACACAGTTGCAGAAATTATCTGCAGCTGGCAAAACTACATCTCTGTTAGAGCATGAGACAAATCAGAGTCAGCTACTGTTATTAAGAGCTTCTGGAGGGCTGGAGAGATGGCTCAGTGATTAAGAGCACTGACTTCTCTTCCAAAGGTCCTGAGTTCAACTCCCAGCAACCACATGGTCGCTCACAACCATCTGTTATGGGATCCAATGCCTTCTTCTGATGTCTCTGAAGAGACTGACAGTGCACTCACATTAAAAAAATAATAATAAATCTGGGGCTGGAGAAGTGGCTCAGCGGTTAAGAGCACTGACTGCTCTTCCAGAGGTCCTGAGTTCAATTCCCAGCAACCACATCATGGTGGCTCACAACCCTCTGTAATGGGATCTTGATGCTCTCTTCTGGTGTGTCTGAAGTCAGCTACAGAATATATATATATATATACATATATATATATATTCATATACATGAAATAAAGAAAATAATAAATCTTTAAAAAAAAAAGAGCTTCTGGAAACATTTCTAGGAATTTGGCATTTGTCACTAGGTTCAGACAAGGAAGTGGGCTCAGATAAGAATATTAGTAACCATGGGGCTGTGTTTATTACTTTGCTGAATTACTACCTTATGTGATCTTCTTGTTTATTACTTCGGTTGATTATTTTGTCTTTGATCTAAGAACTGACCATGTTTTTTGTCTATACCTAGAATGATATAAATGCAAGCTCAGAGAAATAAAGCTGCTTCAGCCTCAGTATGGGCTGGAGTCATGTTATAATTTTGTCTAACTGTTTTTCTTTTTCAATCCTCCCTCCCTCCCTCCCTTGAGACCCTGTTGACTGACTGAGCTGGCTTGGTCATGCTGCAGTCAGTTAGAAGCAACCCCACAGCCCTACTCCTGGGATTAAAATGAAAGCTCATTATTTATTTATTTATTTATTTATCTATTTACTTTTTTGGTTTTTTGAGACAGGGTTTCCCTGTGTAGCTCTGGCTGTCCTGGAACTCACTCTGTAGACCAGGCTAGCCTCGAACTCTCGAACTCAGAAATCCACCTGCCTCTGCCTCCCAAGTGCTGGGATTAAAGGCGTGTGCCACCACTGCCCGGCGAAAGCTCATTTTTATATTTCTATGTTTTTTAAAGAAAAAATTTTCAGAAATCTCAGTATACATGTGTTTCCACATATTTAAAATGCATGTAGATGCATTGTATATAGGTGTATATGCATGTGTGTCATACATGTGTGGAGGCCAGAAACTGATGTAGGGCCTTCTTGGTTACTATTTATTGAGACAAAATTTCTCACTGAACCTGAATTTGTAACTGCAGTTAGTCGAGCTAGCTAGTGATTGCAAGCTTCCATGTCTGCCTCCTGAGTGTTGAGATTATAGGTAGGCCATCACATCTGCCAAGTTCTTTCCACTGGTTCTGGGGGTCTGAACTCTGGACTTTATGGTTTCCTGGCAAGTGCTTTATCTACTCAGCCATCTTCCTATTTCCTATTGCAGAAACTAGGATACCCTGAATGAATCAGACATATTAGTCTGTATAATGATTTCCTAGTGGTCTTTATGAACAAGAACACACTACTGGTAATTGTGGCATCTCTTGCCTCGAAAGTTCTTGTAGCCTTCAACTATGCGGAAAAAAGGTGAGCTCTCACTTCCCTAACAAGTTAGCAAGGACTACAGGGTGCTCAGTCAATGAAAGTTTTATCATCTTCCATTTCCTTATTGTATGTGAGCATGGGGTCAACTTTTCCCAAGACATATTGAATTGAGTGGGCCATGAAAGCAATCTCAGAACTGAAGGGAATCAGCACTATTCAGGTCCAGCAAGAGAATTTTACAAATCAGAAAGGTTCACAAGGAATAGTCAACACTAGAGCTAAAGAAAAACTCTAGTCACTTCTGTTTGTTTATTTGTAATGCTTTGGGAAAACAGAAGCAAAACACTGTAACTACCTACAGCTAAGCAAATGAAAACAATGCAATTCTGGATCAGTAGGACAGAAGAATGCCCCAGATGGATGTGGTACAGCACACCTGGGATCTAGCACCAAAGAGGCAGAAACAAGAGGGTCAGGAGTTCAAGGGCAACTTCAGCTACAGAATGAGTTAGGGAATACCCTGGGCTATGTGAGACTGTGTCCCAGAAAACAAAAACAAAAAGAATAATGCATAGGGAAGGTATATTTCAAACTCAAAATATTAATCAGCACTTATGGCTAATTTTCTCAAGTCTATATAACTTTTATGTGATGTATCATTCCTACCAATAAAATAAAGCACCTGGTCCTATGATTAACAAAAAGAAACAAGTACAGATGTTGAGATTGGAAACAGCAAAGAAAAAAACATTACCTTAAAGAAGAAATCTTATTCTGCATTTCCTGATTAAGTTTTAGTTCTTCTCCTGGCCCACTTTCCTTATGAGTAGGCTCTGTAGTCAGCCCTGTCACCCAGCCTGGAAAGATGAATTACAATCACATGTGACTTAGTGCTGAGTGAAATAGCAGGTAGAACCCCTAATTACACCCCACTTTGTCAACCATCATTGACCTAAAAGCCCAGGGCTTCTTAGAATTGGAACAAAAAATTCAAGCTGAAAAATATTCACAACATAAAGGAAGTACCCAATCATTTCATGACATTATGTTTTCCTTGAAGTGCTAAATCTTTCAATTCTTAAAAACTTCAGTTTTCAAGTATGGTATAAGTCAGTACATTCTAGCAAATTCAAATATAGCTGACAAAGCAGACTTGGCTGTGGCTATTTATTGACATGGAAATTTGCACTGGTATGACTACTCTGAGAATTTTTTAAACTTCAAAATTAAATTTTTATATGAAATGCATTAGGCCAAAACATAGTCCTGATTTTAGTAAATATTTCCTCTTTAAATTGAACAATATAATTTAGTTTTAAAGGTACTAGAGACAGGCTAAGCTGTCTTCACGATATTGTTCAAATTTTAGCTCTAACACAGGGCCCTACACGTTTGAGGCAATAAAACCACTGAGCTCTATCCCCAGCCATTTTTCTTATTTTTTAAAATATTACGTTTATTTGGATAGGGAGAGAGGCCTAAAGGGAAATATGGCAGAGCACCTGTGTGAAAGAGGTCAGACAACAAGCAGGAATTGGTTCTCCTCCTCCCAATATGGCATCTGAGGATGGAACTCAGGTGTCAGGCTTTGAAAGCACGTGTATTATATACCATATACCAAGTCTCTTTCCTCTCCCCTCCCCTCCCCTTCCCCTCCCTTCCCTCCCCCTCCCTTCCCTCCCCTCCCCCTCCCCTCCTCTCCCCTCCCCCTCCTCTCCACTCCCCCTCCCTTCCCTCCCTTCCTCTCCTCCCCTCCTCCCCTCCCCTTCTCTCC